GAGGATGAAATGAATGACCTCAGACTACAACATTTCCAGGTGGAATTCATCCTTGTGAAAGTACATATGGGGAAAAGGCGAATGTCTGTGTGTTTCTCCTGGACATGCCAGAGGATGGTGTGGGTCATAAAACATTTATGCCTTTGCAATCGCAGCATCCAGACAGCGAGAAATCAATCTCTCTTCCTGTTTATGAATAGATGCAGGGAATGACTACAGAATATGGGAGGAAAGGCTAAGTGGGTCGTTAGTTAAAATACACTCCAGGGAGCTTCCTGGGGAAGTGCCAGAAAATCTCAAAGGCCATTTCATTTCAGGCTCCTCCATCTCTTGTCCTCAGTTAAAGTTTATGGAGCTCCCGATACGTGCCAGGGTTTGCACGTGCTCAGATCCCAGGCTCTCTGTTCGTCTTTGACCTTGAACAGTTGCTTATCCTCCGTAAGCCCCCATTATAAGTCTTGCATAGATTCATAAAATGATAATGCCAACTGCTTCTTTGAAATAGAATCTTAGATGAGGATAACACATGAGTGCCCAGTGCAGGACCTGCCACCCAGGGGGACACTCAGCTAAATAAGTCTCCCCTTTCTTGCCACCCTTGCTTATGCCCCCTTTGAAGAATTAAAGTAATTCTAGAAATGCCTGTAGCAATAGGTTGTGGTTAGTTTGCGACAGGGATGACCAACCAATATACAAAAAGAAAGAAAATTAAGTGAGAGTGAAAGTTTCCTATAGGTCAGGAAAGTGGGGTGGGGTACAGGAGTCACCAGCGTTTTTCCAGGGATAACGTACACTGGTGGTCACAGGCGTGCCCCTCTCCCACGAGGGCGTACGCCCACAGGTGTACACATTTGCCTTTGCTGACTCTGGCTCCTGGCCAAGCCTTGCAACCCTCAGTAGAGATTTATAAAGCCTCAACAGTGCTCCACACAGACCTGTTGACTATTTTCTGGTTGTTTTTATTTTTATTTTCTAGTTGTAGTTAGACAATACCCTTGGTTTTATTTATTTTTATGTGGTGCTGAGGATCGAACCCAGTGCCTTGCACGTGTTAGGTGAGCATTCTACCGATGAGCCACAACCCCAGCCACAAGCCTGCAGACTTTTAAAGACCCCAGCACTGAGATAATAGCTAACCACTCTTATGCAACTGAAGTTTTCTTTTTTTTTTTTTTTTTTTAGAGAGAACTTTTTTTAATATTTATTTTTTAGTTTTCGGCGGACACAACATCTTTGTATGTGGTGCTGAGGATCGAACCCGGGCCGCACGCATGCCAGGCGAGCGCGCTACCGCTTGAGCCACATCCCCAGCCCCAACTGAAGTTTTCTAATCATAAACAAATCTCTCTTCTAGATTTCTGGATTGCAAAATCTGACTGCAGTCATTAAATCTGAACTTTACTCCCTCTCCTGCTCTCTTCTCTGCCTCTCTCTTCCTGATGCCTGAGAACTGTGCATTTTGCCAGTTGTATGATCCCATGGGGGATGCTGGTTACTGGGAACACAGTAGTGAGATGAGCAGGCAGATTGGATCCCTCCTTAAATCCCACTAGAGAAAGAAAAGTGATAAGCACACAAATAAAGAATAAAATTGGGCCAAGCACGGTGGCTCACGCCTGGAATCCCAGCAGCTCAGGAGGCTGAGGCAGGAGGATCACGAATTCAAAGCCAACCTCAGCAATGGTGAGGCGCTAAGCAACTCAGTGAGACCCTGTCTCTAAATAAAATACAAAATAGTGCTGGGGATGTGGCTCAGTGGTCGAGTGCCCCTGAGTTCAATCCCCAATACCAAAAAAAGAATAAAATTGGACCCTGGCTCTCAGCAAGCTGCTTGAGCAGACATGTATAGGGGAGTAAATCCTATTCTTCAGCATGGGCCTCATGCCTCTTCTAATTTGGAGGCCAATGCTGCAGTGAACAGTTCTCCTCAGGAGCCACTGTCTTCTTGGTGCCCCAGAGTGACCCAGAAGCGATGGAGACGGGCCAGGGTTGGAAGACAGCAATACATTTTATTGCCCTGATTTTGCCAACAACCATGTCAAGAGCAAGCACTGGGACAGCCCAAGTGCCCAAACCTTCCCTCACATATGCTACTGTTCCATCCTCTCCAGTCTCTTCCTCGTTCGTTACTTTTTCCTATCATAGTAATCTTCCTCTGGTGCTAGACAGAGTCACTGTTAAGAGAAGCAGCAATGGAAACCTGGAGTCTGTTCCTGAGGAGAGTCCGAACCGATGTTCTTCTTGGGGACTGTCAGAATGTCGTGGCCTGTGACATCTGCCAACAGGCACTGGCACAGCCTCCAGCTGTTTGGCATCATAATAGGCCTCTAAAATTTCACCCATCCTTCCATATATGGAAGTAAAACTCATGTCGAAAGAGTAGAAATCCAACAGAGCAATTGGGAAATCGTGTTTGTGTCCCAGGTAAAATGCTGATAATAGTGGGATTCCCAGGCAAAAAAGAAAAGGCTCCAAACTTAACTGAGTGTCTATTCAGCCAAACCTAAACAGGATATTTAAGAAGATTTCTCAGCGGGAAATTAAATGAAGCAAAACGAAGGCCAACCAAGGCAGATACCCCTCCTTACACAGGGTGTGCAATCAAGAGCTCCCTAGTTGGGACCCCACCTGCAGCTCTCTGCCCTGCAAAGAGAATAATTCCTTTATCAGCTCTGTCCATAGCAAGTCAGAGAACAGCTCACTCCTGGGCTGCTTCTCAAGCCCAGCAAAGTTGCTGATGTTGGACGGGTGCTCACAGCACTTGGGTCTAGGTTTTTTGAAGATCTCTGTCCTCGTGACCCCACACAAACTTTCTTCAGTAGAAGAAAGGCCCGGTTTTCCAGTTTCCCCGTTTTCTACCAGGCCTCCTTGCTCCTGCACAAGCTGTTACGAGGTCTAGAATGGCCACAGCCTCTTTGCTCACCTGGCTGAAGTCTGCAGGACCTATAAGATCCACTTCAGGGTGATTTCCCCTGATTTCCTCACCTTTGGGTCAGATCTGTTTCCTGAACTTTGGGCTTGTCCTGCTGTCACCTCTCATGGAACTGCTGAAACTTATCTCCCACCTCAGCTGATGAGGAGCTGGCCCAGCAGCTGCAGGGTGCAGTGGCTTAGGGCTTGGGATTCTGCAGTCACATGACCTGAGTTAAATCCTACTCTTCCACTTTCCAGATGTAGGAAACTAGGTGAGTTATTTCCCCTCCATGAGCCCCACTGTCAATACGGGAATGTGAACGCGTCCACCTTAGAGTGTCCTTGTGAAACTGAAGACGACTCCTGTGAGGGGCTTAGCGTAGCACCGCGTCACCACTCCCTCCATAATGCAGCTGCACTTACGGCACTTTTAAATCCTTTGAGTCAGGTGCTGCGGCTGCCTCTTAGAGCTGGGGTGCCGAGGGCTTGGGGAGGAGGAAATAGCCAGTGGCCAAGGCTGAGCTGGTAAATGGGAACCTCACTGTCAGGACAAGATGGGACACTTCTGGAAGCCAGGGGTAGCACTGAAGATTCTACGAGCAGTTATGTGTTGACACAGCGAAGCTTTAGAAGGCAGGCCAGGGAACGGATCTGAGAAAGGGAGAGACTGGAGGCTGAAGACCAGCCGGGAGGCTGCTGGAAGATTCCAGAAGAGCAGCATGGCAAGGCCTGGGGTGGAGTATGAATGCGAGAGCCACGAAACAGAAATGGCACATCTTGTGTTTATGGAAGAAGACAGGAGCGAATTTCAGACCTGGGAACCCAGGGGAGCAGTCATGGTACCATCAACAGAACGGGGACACAGATGAAAAGGGGACAGAGGGACAATGAAGTGAGCTCATCAGTCAAAGACCAGCCTTCGCCCTTGAGAGGGCCTCCAGTGGAGGTGAGGTAGGGCAGCTTGAGGGAAAAGGGAGCCTGCAGGTGCCAGCTCTACAGAGTCACTGCTGTGACAGAATTGCTCCCAGACCTCACCTCCATGTGACACTGCTGCAGCCACACGACCATGCAGAGACAGCCACACACTCACCACCACACACACAGGTGATTCCCCATTCCCTAGTGCACTCACAACACACACGTGTGCACACACGGACTATAAGTCATAAAACAGATCAAGTATTCACGGTGCCAGGAGGAGCAGCCATTAGTGGGGACTGTGTAGTTACAAGAACCAAGTCAGAGAGCTGGGCTGAGTCAAACTCATATCGGAGCATGTTTTAAAACATTGCAAAATGTGAGACAGGGACATGACCCCTAGCTAAGAGCGTGCATTTGCTCCTGAGCTTTAAGTCTAGACTTGTGACCTGTGGCTCGCTCTTTTCCCATGTGTCCTTTGCACTCACTGACTCTTGCATTTTCTGATTTTACCTCCCCTTCACCCTGCAAGTCACTTAGGGTCAGGAATGTTGTTATCCCCACTTCACGAATGAGGACACACAAGCTCAGAGAGGAAAGTCTTTCTCAAAATCGTATTGTTAATAAATGATGGAACCACGATTCAAATTCAGCCAGTCTGCCCCCTGGGAGGTTACATTTCCCCTGCCACGTGAAATGACTCACAGACCAGGACTGCGATGATGATACACATTTTGTTTTGTAAGCCAACAAGGAAGAAGGGGTAGGATGATGTAGAGGGGATCATGGCCATTATTTCTTTTGCTGTATCCTTCTTTTAAGAAAAGTTCCCATTTTTAAGTTGTGATGGGGGGGATAAAGTAAATACCATTATTTATTCAAATAATAGGAGCAATGGTAAGTTTCTGAGATCCCTTGGAATCCAATAAGAAAAGCTCTTCGGAAAGAACTTTTGAAGCTGAGTTTCAAGGGCAAGCAGAAGAGAGAAAGGCCACTAGGGGTGGCCCAAGAGGAAAGCGGAGCGCTAAGGTGCAAGATTCTCACCAACCAAAATAGTCTCCCACCATGTCCCTCGTCACAGAGGACCCAGCAGCAGCATCCTGATCATACCATGCCCTGGGGTCACAAGGACCACAGGGAGTCTAAACCATATCCTTCTTTCTCAACAGATTCCAAAAGAACAGGAGTTTGGAACCTCACATCAGCCATTTTGTAAGTATGTTCATCTTTGAGGGCCTTTCTTGGGGGAGCAAGAACATTTCTAATAGTGATAGATTGGCCTTTGGGAGATGGATCTTGAATCATCCAGTTGCTAAGCTGATGGTGCAGACCTAGAGGAACAGGGAGGCTTCCCCTCATTACTAAGAGGGCACAACAGCACCATGGCCAAGTGCAGGGCCTACAGAGCTGGTGGCCCGAAAGCAAACCATAGTCCTGGAATGTACTAGCATATGACCCCTGATCAAACAATTCCACCTGTCTCTGTCACCATTTATTCACCTCTAAACCTGGTTTTGTAGCTCCTCAACAGAGTTAGAGTGAATTCAATTAGTTCATTCCTATAAAGGGATGAGGACAATACCTGGCACATCAGAAGTACAGGGTGGCCTTTTGCTTTTTATCATTATCAACACCATCAGCTTTATCCCTGCAGTTAGAATACCCTTTATTCAATATCATCATCTCTGAGAGTCAAAGGGAAATTCTAAGGTTTTCTCAAGAACTAATGGGGAAATGAAGGCCCAGAGAGGGAAAAGGACCTCCCAAGTTCAGAGAGCTACAGAGTAGATTCCACCTGTCCTCTGAAACTCCAGAGGACAGAGAGAGAGAATGCAGAAGTGTGTGTGTTAAAAACCCACTGAGAAACGAGAAAGTTAGAAAGCAAGTGTCCTCTCCTGACCCATGTTTGTTGGGCCATTGAGATACCTCATGGGTAGAATGAGAGGAACCATGGAGAGAGCAAAAGGCCAGTTAGCTCTCACGAAAGCAGCATGGGGAGAAGGAGCAGCACGTTCTACTTTACCGAGCAAGGACCATGTGCCAAGAATCATGATAAAAACTCTCCATCCATGAAAGAGATCACAGGGCCCATCTTAGAGATGAGAAAAATGAGTTTCAGCTCAGACAACTTCCCCAATCATGGGGCCAAGATCCATTTGCACTCAAGAAATCTCCCCTGTCCCCAGAAGTGCTTACGGCAGGTTCCACATACCAATCCCAAGTCCACAGGAGTGAAACTGGACCAGGCTGGCCGAGACCAATGTTCTCTCCCAAACTCCCAAAGTGCAGTCCTCACCCCCGTCACCTCTGACTTATGCAAGCATCTCTCCTTTTGTTACAGATGCACCTCTCCAAGCTGATAGAGAGAAGCCCAGGGCACACCTGACAGGTAAGAGTCCTGGGTTAAGTTGTGATGGGGAAAAGGAAATAAAACAAGTACCATTATTTGTTCAAATAACATAAGCAATGTAAGTTGCTGTGACCCCCTGGAGTAGAATAAGAAAAGATTTCAGGAAACAACCTTGAAGCTGAGATTCAGACAAGAGAGAAAGGCCACTGGGAGTGTCCATAGTCCCAAGATTTCTTTCAGTATATTTACTCAAACTCATTCTGGTAGCTTTAAATTGGAAACCACAGACCCTGGTAACAGATTTCTCTCAATCAAAGGTTTCCAGATGTCTCCCTCCCTATGAAGGATCCAAAGGCCTATGTCTCTTGCATACTTTCTGATTCTATCATCCTTCCCTTCCCCTTCCCCTCCCCTCCCCTCCCCTCCCCTCCTTTCCTCTCCTCTCCATATCTCTCTCTCTCTCTCTCTCTCTCTCTCTCTCTCTCTCTCTCTCTTTGATTCACATAGTCAGTCATTTAGAAATGGACTTCCTTAGACTGGAACTTCAAGTAATTCTGGATCTGGTCACAGATGAAAGGGCCCCAAACTTAGCAATCTATCCATTTCACCTATACCCCCTTCAAGATGTTGTCATTAGACATTTGCATTCAAGAAGTTATTTCCAAAGAATTTCCTGTAATGTGAACCTGTTCAGAGGAATCTCATCATTTCAGCAGATGGCCAGTTTTCTAAGTCTAATGTGGAAATTCCAGGTCCCACATACCTGAAGTTCATAGACCTCTGAAACTCCAGAGGACAGAGAGAGAGAGAGAGAGAGAATGCAGAAGTGTGTGTGTTAAAAAACCCACTGAGAAACAAGAAAGTTAAAAAGCAAGTGTCCTCTCTTAACCAGTGAACATTTGCAACAGTCAAGGGAATATCCTTGCAGCCCAAGATTTTTGTGTTACTATTTGACTAAGAGGGGATTGTTGGTGGCAAGTCCTGAGTAAGGATTAGTACCAGGGAGATGCCAAGTTGCCGTCATTTTCCCCTTTTGTGTAAGAACGGGAGGGAGACTGGGTATGCATATGGAGATGCCATCCCTCTTTTTATGAATAAAGAGACATAGAAACTGGGGAAGAGGCCATCTCTCACTGGGCTCCCAATATGTGCCAGACTGCAACAGGCATTTGACCTCCATTATCTCATTTAATCTACATATTAGTCCTATAACCAGGCATTAGATGGCCCCATTCACAGATGGAAAACTATGGCTTAGGCAACTAAAGTCACATGTTCCTAGCCAGTTGTCCAGGAAATGGAAGTATTCCGACTTCAGCTTGCCTTTCAAAACTGCACTTTCCATGACAACACACTTCCTCTCACAACTCCTACCTTTTGATGTCGACATAGCCAATTGCAAGCCAATCCAATAGAACTTGCCTTAACTGGAGGCTTCACGGATTTTGCTTTTTCATCATCTAAGAAGAATTCTTTTAAAAAATTAGCCTGTCATCTTGAAAGCAGGAACAGAGGCTTCCTTTATGTGGAGTTCACAAAGGCCATCTAGTGGGGGGACAAGAGAAGTCCGTACCACTGCTACATCGATGTTCATAGCAGCACAATTCACAACAGCAAGACTGTGGAACCAACCTAGATGCCCTTCAATAGATGAATGGATAAAAAAAAATGTGGCATTTATACGCAATGGAGTATTACTCTGCATTAAAAAATGACAAAATCATAGAATTTACAGGGAAATGGATGGCATTAGAGCAGATTATGCTAAGTGAAGCTAGCCAATCCCTAAAAAACAAATGCCAAATGTCTTCTTTGATATAAGGAGAGTAACTAAGAACAGAGTAGGGTCGAAGAGCATGAGAAGAAGATTAACATTAAACAGGGATGAGAGGTGGGAGGGAAAGGGAGAGAGAAGGGAAATTGCATGGAAATGGAAGGAGACCCTCAGAGTTATACAAAAGTACATACAAGAGGAAGTGAGGGGAAAGGGGAAAATAATACAAGGGGGAAAAATGAATGACAGTAGAGGGGGTAGAGAGAGAAGAGGGGAGGGGAGGGGAGGGGAGGGGAGCGGGGATAGTAGAGGCTAGGAAAAGCAGCAGAACACAACAGACACTAGTATGGCAATATGTAAATCAATGGATGTGTAACTGATGTGATTCTGCAATCTGTATATGGGGTAAAAATGGGAGCTCATAACCCACTTGAATCAAAGTGTGAAATATGATATATCAAGAACTATGTAATGTTTTGAACAACCAACAATAAAAAATTAAAAAAAAAAAAAAGAGAAGTCCGTACACATTTGGAATGTGTCATAGTTGCAAAGGAGACCCTAGTTCATTCAACAATGGGGAAGACACTATACAAAACCAGAAACTAGATCTCCGGATGCCCAGTGGGTGTGCCGGTTGCTAAATGGTTCCTTTAAACACAACCTATCCCAAAACTGTAGATTGGGTACATAATGGCAATTGCTATGGGTTTCAAAAAAGCAGTTATAGGAAATAAAAATGGTTTTATTTCTCCCCATAAGAATTAGTTTTACTGCAGAATATCTTATTTGAAATCAGTGGTTTCAATCAAGTTTGATTCTACTCCTTGCCTTCTGCTATTAACATTTTCATAAAAGCATTCACTAGTATGTTTTATATAATGTCTACGTATGACTAATGCAGACATAAGAACATATATAAACAGATCTCAAAGAAAATAGAGTGGTTTTTGGTTTTTTTGTCTGTCAAAATGAAAGTTAGATTTATTTGAGGGAAGAAAAATTGAGTGCAACTTTATCCAGCCAATTGTGATTAAAAAAAAAATAATCACGTCCGCTATGTACACTTAATCTTCAGAATGACACTCTTGAAAAGCTTTATCCCCAGTTCACAGACAGGAGACTGAGGCTCAGAGAAGAGAGTGAACCTGCAGAGTTGATTAATGAGCCAGTGTATTGCAGAATCACAGTTGGTACTGGGCCCAATGGCCCCAAGCCCAGGTCCCTTCCACTCCACAAGTCAATTACATTGACTTATATTTTGGCTCTGTCAATGTGGAAAAAGAATTTCCAAAATGTTCTAAGTCTCTGCTTCCAACATGTACTGCAAGGTAATTCTTTATTAATTACGGCCTGTGATTCCTCTGACTTTGGATGAGAATTGGAATGCAGAGATGTGAACCTCTCTCTCTCTCGCTCTCTCCTGATAAAAGTGAATAAACTTTAGAGAATATCCCAATAGCTGGGGGTTTTACACATATCACTTCTTTTAATCCTTTCCACAGTATTATCTCTATTTTTTTAAAGATCTGTCTATTAAAAACCAAGACAGATTCCATAAGGAGACTCATTATACAAAAAGAATTATTACTAGAGGTGGGAGGGAAGGGAAAGAAGAAACTATAGTCCTGGGCTCAGTATTCCTGTGGAATTGATTCCAGGGCTCCTGCAAATACCCAAAGCCTCAGATGGAAGTCCCTTATGTAAGATGCTATAGTATTTACACATAACTCATGTAAGTCCTACCTTGTCTTTAAATCACTCTAGACGATTTATAATAGCTAATACAATGTGAATGCTCTGTAAAGAGTTTTCTACTGTATTGATTAGGGAATCATGAAAAGAAGAAGTCTGTATACGTTCAGTACAGACACAGGTTTGTTCTGTTTTGTTTGCAGTATTTTCCATCTTCATCCTCAGTTGGTTGAATCTGTGGATGCGGAACTGAAGATAGGTAGGGCTGTCTATACTGGGCCTGGGAGGGGACTAAGGCTCTAGGAAGAATCTGTGACAGTGAGATGCTGGTTTCTCCAGAGTGAAGCTAAAAAATGTCTGTGTTTGATCTCTATAAGCAAAGTGAACAAAACTAGAAAGAAGCAGGTACAGGGAAGTGGGGTGAAAGGGGGGCGCGATTGGATCAGAGAATGTTCTACCCCAAGGCTAGCCTAGTCTCAGGAGGGCTATCTGCTGCTCAGGCTGAGGCTGGGCCAAAGCCCAGGTCCTGGGAGAAGGAAAGAAGCTTAACCAGTTTGGTCAATAAGCATTTTGTTCCAGTTGGTCCATGAGGATAAAACAGTTGTGCTCATCATTCCTGTGGTATCTGGCCTGGTCGTGGGTAGACAAGGGTGGCATCCATAAGCTGGGCTAAGTTGTTTGGGGAAGACAGCCCTTTGCTGTAAGCCATTTTCTGGAACACAGAGGAGTGAGGGGATTTCTTAACCTTCACTGTTTTTCAGGATTACAGGCCTCTGGTAAAATTCCAAAATTGTTCAATCAGAAAGCTCAACCTGAGTAAAGCAAAGTCATTTTCCCCAGGTCCCCCATCCCAGATGCCACACCCTGAACAAGCATCCACCTCTACTCACATACCCTTCCTCCCCAGGGCCATTGGTAGTCCTTGGTTTATCTCAGTCCTTGTGCTCTTTGAAAAATGACAGAAGACTTTTTAGCAAAGTCCACGGGTTCCACCTTGAATCATTCAAACCTCTTTCTTATCTTTGCAGTTGTGAGACAGACTCCCTCACCACACCTGAAAAACCAGTTCCCAGCTCTGCACTGGGAACATGAACTGGGCTTGGCCTTCACCAAGAACAAGATGAAGTACACCAACAAATTCCTGGTGATCCCAGAGTCGGGAGACTACTTTGTTTACTCCCAGATCACGTTCCGTGGGACCAAGTCTGAGTGTGGCAGCATCAGCCAGGGGAGACAACAGATCAAGCCGGACTCCATCATCGTGGTCATCACCAAGGTAACGGACAGCTACCCGGAGCCCGCCCAGCTCCTAACAGGGACCAAGTCTGTGTGTGAAATTAGCAACAACTGGTTCCAGCCCCTCTACCTCGGGGCCATGTTCTCCTTGAGAGAAGGGGACAAGCTGATGGTGAATGTCAGTGACATCTCCTTGGTGGATTACACAAAAGAAGATAAGACCTTCTTTGGGGCCTTCTTGCTATAGGGGTAAAGCAGGTATCCCTGCCTCCTACCTCCCAATTTGGTCCATTCAGATGTAATTATAGCCAGGGGTTTTCTTGGGGTCAGAGGTAGGGGGCATTCCACAGGGACAGTGGTTTAGCTATGAAATGTAGGGCCCCAGAGTTCACACTGATGAGAATACTAATTGGGGGGGAGGGGGAAACAGAATAGAGCAGACAAGTCCTCACGGTGGCTTGAAGGAGCATCGAGTTTCTGGAACACTGATCAGCAAGCGAACGAACTGTCTGCTCAGATCAGGATTTAAAGGACATTTCCACACCTCTCTGCTAGGTGATTGTCACCTGTACTCCGTTTATGGTTCAGTTTGATCAGAGTTTTGCCTTAGTTCAGGAGCTTTTGACAAAACCCAAAGAAAGTCCAAGAAAACTGTATACCCTGAGGAGGAAAAATCCTTTATGGTGTTTCACATACCTTCATGCCTATTCTGAAGAAGAAAGAGAGAGAGAGATGGTATTTTACATGAATTTTGTTCAAAAAGGAATTGGTCTTCATGCCATGTCTGGTCTATGACAAAAGCTACCATTCTCTTGATTGTGTACACAACTACCAAAATAAGCAAGTGTGAGTTCCACCTGCATATCATAAACCTCAGCAAGTGCATGGTTCAGAGCAGTATTCTTGTGTACCTATCGTGTTCTGGGCACTGTGAAGAACAAGACACATTCTACTCAAAACTTACATAATTACCACTAAATGTTTCCTGGTCAAATATCAATTGAGATACTCCAAAGAAGAACTTCAAACCCCCCCAAATTACATATGTCATCTGAAAATGTTATTTCTAGAACTGTCTTGTGAAGATAAGCCGTTGATCAAATCACTCAAGAAACATGAAGATCATTCAAGTGAACTAGACATACACAAAACTTGATTGATGCCAGGAGACAACAGAATTTGTTCTCTGGGAAGGAAAAAAATGTCAGCCATCAAATCTGGATGGGTTAACCTGGGTCCACTTTGAAGTTTATTTTGCAACTTTATGTACAGAGACTTAACTGGGTGTTATTCCCTTAAAATATAAGGGACTTAAATATAGGGTTAATTAATCAGCCCAGTCTAGAGGACATTGAGAATGTCCCTTCTATGCTTCAGTGATACATATGCCCTCGTTGGTGTGATTCTCGTGCCCTGCTACATCAAAGGTCGGATGGCAGTTCTGCTCACTTAGCCTCTGTTGACTGGAACCCACCAATTTGTTTCCCAGGATCCTCTGAGCTCCTTGGAATGCAAAGGGTTAACTTTCTGCAGGCTGTGTAATCTGAGAGCATCTCAGGGTGACACAGCTGGGAACCTCCTGCACCACAGCCTCTACTAGACATGCTCCTGATCATGGAAGACCTCATAGATAGGTCTCAGCAGAACTTGATCCTGGACTCACTCTTACACTGGTTGCCAGGCAACTCTAGAGGCAAAGAGACATTAGACGTGGGTGCTGAACACAGTGACGGGTTGAGTCGTGGTACTGGATCAACATCAGTTGAGTAATAATTAAATATAAACCAATGTCCAGTTTCTCCGTTGAGAGATGACAACTCCCCACGAATCTTCTGACCTCTGCTAGGGTAACTTCTCCGGGCTTCTTTCTTACCTTCAGCTTCTTCAGTCAGCTCAAGACTCAGGGACACTGGGGGCAGGGAAGGCTGTGGCCTCCACCTGGTTCAGAGTCTTCTTAGAGGAAGTAAGATCTGAAAGAAGGTGGGCAGCCCCCAGTGACCACAAGGAAAGGGCAACTCCAAAGCAGGAATCATCCCCTGCTTCAAGCAGAAAGGAAAGGTTTCTCATTAACTCTAAAATTAGTGTGACCAAGAATGTCCCCCCCAACCAGCCCCTAGAACCATATTTATTGTATATCAAGAATGCCTCACCAATGGCCTAGCATAGCTCCAGGATCAGAACTAGCATCCCATTCTGAATTAGAAGTCAGAATGCTGTGTCTACCCAGTGCAGAAGAGCTTCCAGCAACCAGGGCTGCCAGAAAAGGATTCGCACCAAAGAGGCCCCAGGGAACCACTCACCTGCTCCACTAATAGACCTTCAAATTTGCTCAAGGGTGATCTAGTGGATTTGGAAGTTTATCCAGGACAGAAATTTCCTAATATCTTAAGACACTTGAATCTCTGGCAAAATCTCTGCCAAGTAATTATTTTGTGCCTGTCGTCAGCTCGTTTATTGAATTATGTGGCTGTTGGTTTGTGAAATTCTTAACTATTTATCTTGTAGTGTTCAGCCACACATTCCTAATAACGCTCAAGTCAGAACTTCTGTTTCCAAAGCATTATCTTGATAGCAGACGTGATTGTTGCTATTTTTAAAAGCAAGGTGGAAAAATGCTTCCTAAGAACTTGTGATAGTCCCCAGAGGGGGCTAATGGCATGCATTCAGAGCTTGGGAGAGAAGGGGATGCTTTATAAAACAGATAATTTAGGGAGAAAGTTCTGTACAGGTTAAATGGCTCTTAAAAACCCGAACTCTAATCAATTCCACAAACATTTACTGAGTACCTACTTACCCTGAGGATACAGAAATAAATTATTTTTAGTCTCAGACATGCAGATTCTAACTGCTCTGTAACTCCACTTTCCGCATATCTCTTAATTTAGTTTGGTTGTAAATTAGCTTATTAATTAGCTAACTTTGGGCGCATGGATGCTTTCTTATTACAAAAAAAAAGGGTACCATTCGATGCAGTCTGAGCATTAACAAAGTGATTTGTATTTATTCTGTTTTTTTAATAGCTACTCAAAGAGCAGTTTTTTAATAAATAAATATAGGAAAAAAACAAAGATACCATTTTTCTAAGGTTGGATGCACTATTTAATAAGCTACATGTAGAGAAAGATCATCATTTACTGGTCTCATGTTTGGTCACCAACACCCTTGAAAATATTCTAATTCTAAAGATGACCCCGAGATGACTTGAAAAGACTGTGTTTCTCAACAAATTCATGGGTCACTAGCATTTTGACCTTAGCATGGTTTAGATCTATTTGGCAGAATTGTTGGGCTACTAAAATTTCTACTTTTTAAAAAAATTTTTTGGATTAAGATACAATAGGAAAAGTGAAAATCGTATTTTTTTCATCTCCTAAAATGTGTCAGTTGGGTTCAGTGACAAGGCATGTCAGAGTCCTTGGCTCCATTTCAGTCCAAGCTCTATCACCCCCTGGATTATAAAAGGTCAATTAGCTCACCATACATAAGGCATGGCCATTGCCAATGTTCTCTTGCAAGGTTTTTTCTCAAGTCCTTGCTCAGCCCTGTTCCCATGATTGTGACATAGGATGTAGGACAGGTCTATTTCTATTCTGTAACTTGCAAAACACATGCCGATCTCTCCCGCCTCAAATTTTTTTCTGTTCTTTCATGGCCCAGAGTCCTGGAAACTTTTGTCATTTTTAGCAGAATTTTCTTTCAGTGTACATCATTATTCTTGGTGTTAATATTATTGCATCTTATTGGCAGCTAGGCCTTTGGAGAATTCAGTGAACTATTAACCCCCAAATCCTTTTGCACCAGTGGTGAGTGGTTAGGTCAGAGAAGCCATATTCATGCCTCGCCCCACTCTAACAACCATATCTACAATCTCCCAAGCTCTGAGACACATTTGTCCCCGCCTCTTCCATCACTCCTTTTTAAGAAACTATTGTACCAGCCTGAATAGAAGTTACTCATACAGGATGACACGAGTTAACAGCAGATCTAGAGCCAGGTTCTGTCTTCCTGAGTCGTAATTCTGGGATCATCCAATTATGCTCTACTCTTGGCTAACAGTGAGCAATTTATGACCAGAGAAGAACAAAAAAAGTATCTTCAAATACCAAGGGGGCAATGTAGAAAGGGGAGGAGAATTCTTCCATATATCCCTGGAGAAAAGGGTTGGAGCTGAAAGTTAGGGTTCCGGGTCACCATCTCTGGACTTCACAACCAAGTGAACTTTGTGCCCCCAAATAGAATTGCTCCAGGTAATGATTCCTCATTTCCCGAAGATATTCAAGCAAAAGACTCATCACAAGAATTTTGTGGAAGCCACTTCTTCCTTGAGACTGGGGAAGGGACTGAGCCAAAGGATTTTCGAAGCCTTTTCCAAATCCATGACTCTGTGGCCTTGCCAAGAGTCCAGTGGCTCAGCTTAGATGACGCAGTCATGTCCCACTTGTCTAGAAAGCATCCAACACAACGTGACTCTGAGATCTTGGACAGCAGAGAAATGTCATGGCTGACATGATCTGCAGAAGGTTACATCATTTCAAGGATGAAGAAACTCAGGCTCAGAGAGGTGACATAAGTGACCCAGTGCTAGTCAGCAGGTAGTCAGAACATTGAGAGTCCAATTCCTATCTCCTGATGCCAGAGCCCAAAGGTTTTTCAGTTTCGCCCATGAGTCAATTATTTTTGAGCCTCTGTCATATGCCACACTTACCTAGATCTGGAGAGCGGAGCGGGAAGGTGACAGGCAAGTCCTCGCCTCGTGGTGTAATGCAGGAGGGAGGAAGCACACAAGATGCTGAGCAAATAAAGCAGCTGCACTTAAATGATTTTATTGTTAAAGTCATTAAAATATGTAACTTCCCCCTCTTTTGTTTTGGGGGTGTGTAGATTGAACAAATGTAGGTATTTATGTGATTCTAGTAATAAGCCCCACGTGCTTTCATTGATTTTATGTTTTATGTTAAAACGTCACAACCGCAACGTAAAATGCATATTGTATGTTGTTGGATATGTACTTAAATGGTATGCATCCCGTGTCTTTAGGCACTATACTGTACAAATTCTAATTCCTGTAAATGAAAGTTTGCATATGTTTATGTATTTAATAGATGTAATTTAATAAACTGGCATTGAAGGCTGCAGAATTGTAACAATTTGGTCAGTTCTTTTGTTGGTCTGTTCATTTGTGTTTCCTTTTGTATTAGGGTCACCTCTTGAGATTTTTTAAATGCATCCAGTTCTGTATTACCTGAA